AAGGGACAGGGAAAGACAGGGAGAAAAACGTCAATGTGTGGTTGCCACTCTTGCGCCCCCCCCTTACTGGGGCCCACAACCCAGGCATGTGTCCTAACTGGGAATCGAACTGGCAACCCTTTGGTCCACAGGCCAGTGCTCAATCCACCGCACCGCACCGGACCGGACCACACCAGCCAGAGCTGATCGGCTAACTTCTAAGACCCCCCAGATTCCCCGTGGTGGCAGGGTGACACGACCGAGGGAGGCCGGGGGACCCCGCGGCGCTCCGGCACCCGCCCTGCTCTCCCATGTCCCCTCCTGTGCACTGTGAGCCTTGCCCCACATCCCTGCGTCTCTGCAGACAGACCTCGGATCCGAGCAGCCAAAGAGGAACGCTTCCGGGTGACAGAGAACTTCACGAGGTGTCCTCCCCACGTGATGGGGACTGCAGACGACGATCACACCCAGCGACCAGCAGGTAAAAAGTACATAACAGCCCACACAGACCGACTTCCAGCGAGAGCATCCCGGAGCGGTTCAGCTCCTCCTTCCCCATCACGGCGGCTCCTGGCAGACGCCACTCCGCCGCTAAGTGCGCCAAGTCCGAGCCCTACGCGAAGTGTTCATCTGGCTGCCTTCGGCCCGACTTGGACGGGAAACGGACGGGGTGAAAGTGCCGACTCCCGCCTGCTCCTCAAGGCAGTGTCGTGTGCACACACCTCGGGCCGCAGTTTCAGAACAGAACGCGAGGGTCCGAGCTCCCCTCTGGGTCTGGGAGGTGCAGCCGCTTCCCGCCCGAGGGAGTCGCTTCCCGTTCATCCCCTCTCCCCCCAGGGTACAGCCCTTTTCCAGACACTGTCTGGTGGACGTGATGCTAGAGACGGAGGGAGGAGATGAGAATTTCTACCTCACGAAGTTTAAACGAGATTTGCAAAGTGGAAAGCATCACTCTTCTCACTGATTTTTTCTTTCGAAAACATCTGTCATTTATGTTACTGTGTAGTGGGCTTACTGTTATTTTTAATAAATGCAGTTCTCAGCTTGAATTTCCAATATGGTAAATATCAGCTCACACGATCCATAAATACAAAAGCTTTCTATGGTCCTTAACTTTTGAGTTTAAAGAAGTCAAAATCCAAAGTTTGAGAAAAGCTGTCCCAGAGAAACTCTTACACAAGACGTTTAAGAACATTCACTACAGTGTCTATGGCAAAAAATGAGAAATCACCTGTTTATCGACTGGGGAAGCAAACAGAATGCCGTTTATTCCAAGGCTGCATACTACATGGCCATGAGAACGAACTAAATCTTATACAGTTAATGTTTGAGCAAAAACCCATTTCGCAGAATATGCACAACACACTACCCACGTGTATCGAAACACAGAGTGTTGTCTTTTGTTTATGCACCACGGAGACTGATAATCCGTCATCTGCCTCTGACTTGGGGGAGGGGCTGTGTGGGGGGGAGATATGTTCCTTTGGATTTAGAGAAGATTGACTGAATGCTAAAAATGCAATTGCTAGATAAAGAAACTCCATTTATAAAGTCGGTCATTCAGCAAAGCTACCGAACACCAAACTCTTCACGCTGAGGAGTGTGTGACCCTAACAGAACACAACTGAGGACTGGCCACAACTGCTCACTGATCCTGTTCACTCCTCTTCAGGGAGACAGCCCCTCTGACCTGGCTTCCCCGCTCCTTCCTTGAAGCACAACTTTGATCTCTGTGACCCGCCCCCTTTCCCTACTTGAAACTGCACTTTTCCAGACTTGCCCCGCTCCCAGCCCCTGGAGACCAGGGCTGGAGGCGCCCCAACCCCAACATCAGGAGGCCTGGTCAGTGCCTAGGGCACCAGCCACTGCTCTTCCTTCTCCTCACCCTTGAACTCTTACAGTCGAACTTCTAAAGAAGACCCGGTGACATTCACTACCTTCCTTCATCGTCCACATCCCCACTTCACCTCGGACTTCAGACCCCACCACCCTCCAAATGTCCACACGGCTTTCTCTTCAGCTCCGACCTGCGACCACTCCTGGGACGCCGCGCAAAGCTCCGCCCGCGGGCAACAACGGGAGGCTGCACCTGCAGTCCAGCCCCAGCCCGCCCGCCCTGACCATTAGGTAGCAGGACACTGCTAACGCCTTCCAAAGTCAGCTGCCTCACCTGCACGTGGTGTCCAGGTAAGGCCGCACAAGTACTGACTGGGCAAGTGCACTCAGAGTGCCCGAGTGCCGTAGATGCTTATTAAATATAACCCCCCCACGTTCTTCTTCAGGGCACACGGGAGAGTGACTCCTGGGTGTCCCCCTCTATCACTGGGTTTGCCCAAGTTCAAGTGCCAGATGCCTACTGGAGTGCCAAGAATTTCCACAGGACTTCGCTCAGACCCACACACACCCCTGCGCTGCATGCACCGCGGGGGCTGCTGGACCGTGCTAACCACACCGCGGTGTGCCCAGTGCCTGGAGCAGGACACCAGGTGGTCACCATGCCCAGCGGAGGCTCCTTTGGCCCACAGCCCCCTCCCCTGCGCGCCACTGCTGACCAGCCAAGTCCAGATCTGACTGGCTTCTCTTAGCTGAGCCCCAACCCGTCGCCTGTCCCCAACCCCCCCTCCCCTGCCTTCCACAATGGGTACCACGAACCAAGCCTCTTGATCACATCGCCCACGAACACACAACCTTCATTCACCCACAGCCTAAAAGTGGAGCTCCGACACTTCAGGCATCAGGCCCCACCTCCTAGCCATCCTCACTCCCCAGCAGCCTCTGGAGCCCACTGCCGGCTCGTGTGCCCCACCGTCACCGCTCCCCGTGGGGTCCCCTGTCCCAGGTCCTCAGTGCTATCCAAAGGCCCCAGGGAGCCATGGTATGGGCGTCCTTATGCCTGATGGCCTCTGTGAGACCGGACTCCCAGCAGCGGGGGTCCCGTGCTGGGCGTGCCGCAGGCGGGGCTCTGCTTTGCAGCCGGGAGGCACTCTGAAGTCTGTGAGGGTGAGATCTGGGAGACCGGAGGTCACGGGTAACCAACACCAGGTCGTGAGTGGTGAGAAGTAATAGCCGAGAAGCACGTGGGTCAAGATGGGTCTGAAATCAGACTAACTCCCTCAGAAGACCTTTCCTTCAGAGAGCTGACACCGTCCGCCTTGCTAATTCGACATGAAGTCCTCACAGACGGACTAGGAAGGGGAATGAAAATCGGGGGACACGAGCAGTAATCGAATTCTCATGTTGCACACCTAAAAAGGCTAAAATACCACTTCCGTTTTCCAAGGACTCAATGTCATTCCTAATTTTTTTGAAGTAAAAACAACTCATCACACTTTTCCAGCACACGCTTAACTGCAACTTCCATGGAGCCTGAGTGAGAATTAGATACTTCTCAGCACTGAAAACCCTCCTCTCTTCCCACCGACAATTTCCCCCAAAACTATGCAATCGGCACCCCCCCCAGCTTCAGTCCCGCATCACTGGTCCCCAGATGGCAACAGGGGGCAGCTGTCCCCTTGCTTGCTTCTCCCACCCTAAACCCTTCCTGTTTCCTTGTCCACCGCTTTAATAAATGTCCTTTCAAAGTAACAACAATTCATTGTTTTTATCTCGGGAAAGAAGTGTACTCGGAACCTTTAAGCCACGGTTGAGCCACTCGTACAAACTCACTCCTTGCACCGCACCTGCCAGTCCCTGCCCCAGGGAGGGGCGGGGGGCAACCAGCCAGCAACTCTGCCCAGGAGCCGAGCCCGCGGAGCCGCAGCCACAGTACTGGCCGGAACAACAGCCCAGTCACCCCGCGGCGCGGTCTCTGCCTAAGGAGCATAAATGTGGAGCCACGACACTGCCTGCCCCAAACCAACCCGACCCTGAACGTCAGCTGTAACTGAAGAATAAAAAGGTCAAACAGGAGCCACTTCCCCAGACCGAAAGCTGCCACTGCTGAACTTGGCCAGCAACGTCGGACGGCGGGCCCGCGGCCACTGGGACACCTCCAGGTCCCCAGTCGGAGACGCACCGTTTCCCGGGCTCGGCTCCCGGGCCCCGCGGACAGCTCGCCCCGCATATCGGAAGTGCGATGGGAGGAACCCCGCAAAATCTCGTGAGAGGCAGCAAGTTTTGAGCGCCCCATCAAGACACCCACAACCGCTGCAGCTGGCTTTTTACATACCGGCTCTGTCTCCAGCATTTGCAAAAGGAAGACTATCCACCCCAACTCATGACAATGGTCCCCACGCCGGGACAGCGTTTTAAATCACCCGGGCCGGGCGCCCTGCCCCCAAGGCTCCGACCCACCATTGCGCGGGCCGCGCCGCGTCCGCAGGAACTGGAGGGAAAGTGGAGCTCGTGGGTCGCCGCGGCTCCGGGACCGGCAGGGGGGTCTCCGCGGGGTAAGGCCGGTGGAGGGGGAGGGGGGGAGAACGGTGCGCCGAGGCCGTTCTCCCGCGGGCTCGGGTCGCTCATTCAACTTCTCAGGTGTCTCGCCGGGCTCGGAGCCCCCGGGGGCGCCGTGCGCGACCGGCAGTGACGAGGAGCACCCCCGTCGTGTACAAACTCCACTTACCAACCCCACTTCCCACGTGCGCGAGTCCCGGGTCGGACCGGCTCGCTACCAACCGGCTCCGGGCGCCAACCGCCTGGGATCAGAGTCCAGCGGCCGCGGCCCGGTAGCGGGAGTCGGGACCGGCGGACGCTCCCGCCCCGCCCCCCACGCACCGCTCTCCGGTCCCGGACGCGGGCAGTCCCTGGCTCCCGAGGCCACCAGTGGGGCTGCGGCCGAGCGGCCGGACGAGGGGCCCCCGCGGCCGGGGACGCGGCCGAGGTCGTCGCCCGGCGTGGGGGAGGGGAGGGGTCGGCCCCGCGGCCGCTGCCACCTCCCGGGCCGCAGGCCGCCGCGCGGGCCCGGCCGCCGGAACCGGAGCAGGAAGCGTCCCCGCCCGAGCCCAGCTTCAAGCCCGCCGCGCGGGAGAGCCGGCGCCGGCCCGCGCCCCCTCACCTCCTGGTTGAAGGCGTTGACGGCGTCCATGTTCGCGCTGCGGCGGCGGCTCCGGGCCCGCCGGTTACATAGAATCGCGCAGGGCGGAGCGGGGCCGCGGCCCGGCCGGGCGGGGGCGGGACCGGAGCGGGCGGCGACGGCGGCGGGGCCCGGGGCCGGGGGCCGGGCAGGAAGCGGGGCGGCGGGGCGGGCGGCGGCGGCGGGCCCCTCTCAGTGCCGTTCGGGGGCTGAGGAACAAGAGGCGGCGGCGCTGCGCCCTAACATGTCCGTTCGGTGGCGGCGGCTGCGCTTTGCGTCTCGCTGACACGGCCCCCGCGCCCTCACGCACTGGCCACACGAGCCCGGCCGGCGAGCGGGCGGCCTCTCTCAGCTTCTCGCCAGCGGGATGGCGGCAGCGGCCCGAGTCCACGCCGCGCGGGGCACCCTGGGACGGCTCGGGCCTCCCAGCGCTTCCGGTGCCCGCGCCGGCCCCGCCCCGCCGCGTCGGCCCCGTCCCCGTGCACGCCGGCCCCGCCCCGTCCTGCGCGCCAGGCGGCGGGCGCGGAACGCGAGCGAGCTGGGAGCTTTCCCGCCCGCCGCCGCGGGCCTGGGAGGGGTCCCAGCCTAGAGCCCGCGTCCCGTGCGGTCGCCGGAAGTCGCGGGTTGCAGCTCCCGGAGGCTGGCCCCTGAACCCTGCAGCGTCCCCCGGGCTATTTCCGAGTGCCATTCCGTCCGTGCTGGTCCTGCGCCTGGCCCGGTCCTGCGGGCGCGGAGCCGGGAACAAAGGACTTCACCCGGCTCGTGGACGTGCTCGTGCCGGCTCCCCCGCAGCCTCTGCTGCGCAGCCCCGTGTGTGTCGCAGTTGTGCGGGTTAGTCTTTGCGAGCTGAAGTGCGGAGAAGGACACACGGGCCCAAAGGAACCCTTGTTCCGTGGAACAGCCTTGTGCCATGGGAGGGGTGGACTTGCTAAACCCTGATATCGCCTCCCCAGGCCACCTCGTTTCTTTTTTGATGGAAAGGCTGCCCCGATTCACTTCCCCTGAGTATTTACTGTCTTCCAGGCGCTGGGCTGGGTTCTCGGCACATGGAAATAAAAGATCATTTTTCTGCCTTCGGACAACCCAGGTTAGTGGAGAGGATAGGCAAATGAGCAGATAATTACTGAAGCATGTTAAGTGTTAGGGCACAGCCCCTGGGGAACTAAGAAGAAAGGCATCATCCAACTAAAAGCCCAGTAAGGCCGGAGGAAGTGGCACCTGAGCCGCATCTGGCAGCAGCAGCACTGGGAGAAGCTGTTCCATCTTGAGCTCGATGAGAACGGTGGCATCAGCCTCCCCGGGGAGGACCGGCTGGAGCCTGGGCTGTGATGTGGACCTGGAAGGAGCGAGGAAACCGGGTCCTGAAGGGCCTCGGGGCCATTCCAAGGAGTTTGGATTTTGTCCCCAAAGTAGTGGGGAGCCACTGAAAGCTTATAAGGGGGGTGGTGTCATGCAATGTGTCCTTTCAGAAGAGAGGAGTGGAGTAGTAACAAGAGTGGGGTCAGGGAAGGAATAGCCCTAGTCCTGGGGATGTGCTGGGGGCTAAGTCCCTGGAGCTAAGAAGGAGAGACAAGGTCAGATATTTAAGAAGTGGGAAAGGGGCTGTGAGATTAAGGAAGAGTGAGGCTTCAAGAAAGATGGTCCAGGTTCTGGTTTAAATGATGTGGATGGTTGGGTTTATAAGTCAATGTAGGGGATCCAGGGGGAGGAGGGAATGGGTGTGAGGGAACAGGATGGTGTTTAATACTCGTAGATGGTTCACATGTGCCAGGGTCTATCTGACATGCTACTCTGTGTTATTTAATCTCCGTAACGGGCTTCTGTGTGAGGTGCCTATTAGTAATACCCCTGTGTTACATTTGAGGAAGTGAGGCCCCATTCGGTTAAGTAAAGTGAATTAAATGACTTCCTTCTGGGACCTATGGAATTTGAGCTGCCCCTGGGGCAAATAAGTGAGGATGTCTAGGAGGTAGTTGGGTAAACACAGGTGGAATCCGGATGGCTGGCTGAGAGGCGGTACAGATCTGGGAGTCATTAGCACACAGCTGGTATGGCAGGGGCTGAAACACAGGGAACATAGGTGTGTGAGGGGTAAGAGGCAGGAAGAGGAAGGGCACCAGAGAAGCAGTCAGCCCCTTCCATGCTGAAGGTAGACTGTTAGCAAGGGAAGGCCCAGCAGGTACGCTGGGTGGAGTACAGGAGCAGAAGCCAAGTGCTCTCGGGAAGGCGGCAGGAGGCACGTTGCAGAAACCTGGCCAGGAAGGCAGTGTGTAAGGGCAAGAGCTGTGTGATGCGGGGGTGCTTGTTTCTTTCAAGATAAGACGAATGCACTCTTAATTATCAGAGCAACAGAGTAGATCCCAAATATTCTCTCTAGACCTACCCATCATCTACTTCATATCGATGCCTTCTTATCTCCAGCAAAACTGCCATTATGTTTTTGAGAACCCATTTCACTTCTCATCTGTAGGTGCACTGACATTGCATCAGAAAGTGCAGGTTTTCATGGGTCGACCTTGCCTTTCTGCATAATTCGCTGTCTGCCATTTGTCTGAGATCTTGCATCCTGTTTCCAACCTCTTCCCAGGGCACAACCCAAGTCTTGCCATTCCCTGGACAGGGCTGGGACCTGACACAGGCCAGGCTTTGCTCTCGTGGACAGCCCCTTTCTGCTCCTCCAGCCGGGCAGGCCTGTTTGGCACCTAGCTGACACTCAGACATCAGCTCCTTTTAGTCACCAGCCATGTGCCCAGCACCTCCTGCATGCCAGTCACCATGCCGAAAGCTGCCCGCTCCTCTCCGGCCAGAACAACTCCTCTTGGACCCGGCCCAGGCACAGTTGACCTTGTGTTGCTGTGATCTGACTCGCCCCCCCACCTTCCGCCTCCCTTCTGTGAACAGCAGGGAGGCTTCCACCTGGATGCACAAAGCCGAATTGGGTCCTTCTCCCCCAATTCACATATGCCGGCGTCTCCCCTCCTGTGAAGGGGGAAACGGATTTGGCTAAGAACGGCTGCGCTCTGATGCTGGGCTGGGAAAGGGGCTGGGCGGGAGGTGGTGATGGGGGCTTCGAACAGTTTGCATGGGAGGCTTGACGCCTACCGCTGTCGGGCTTTGTGTGGCCCTGGGGTCAAGTGAAGGGGGACGTGTTCCATGTGCCGTCCTACTGAGAGTTGAGTGGACAGGGAACGAGATGTGCCTTGTACGATCCTTGTGTTTGAAGTGGATAATTTTGGAGGTTCTTTTCTGGATAGGGTTGGTTTTTATGTCGATCATGCTTGGGAGGTCTTTTAAGCAAGTCGTTTGGGGAATGCATGTTATTAGCAAGGAATAGCCCTACTCAGGGCTTTCTACCGTTTTTCTGTTCAGAAGATGGCAGCATCACCTCTCTTTTGCTTGTTTTTAAATTGATTTGAGAGAGAGAGAGGAAGGGAGGGAGAGGAAGGGAGGGAGAGGAAGAGAGGGAAACATTGATTTGTTGTTCCACTTGGTTGCCTCTTGTATGTGCCCTGACTGGGGATTGAACCTGAAGCCTTAGTGTATTGGGCAGGTGCTCTAACCAGCTGAGCTACCTGGCAGCATCATTGCTAGCTGCCCTGGGACACTTGCTGCACCTCTGCACAGCTACTGCTGGACTTTGGTCTCTAGCTCTTCAGGCAGACAAGTCACATGCTCTAATAGGAAGTTTTGGGCAAATGACAAAAACTCTGCAGGGCTGTGCTTTGAAAGTGAGCAGCCGTAGAAGCAGAGGAATGCAGCCTGTTAAAAAGATGGCCAGGCGACCGTAAGTGCAAGTGGCTGATAAAAATCAGCAGGACATTTCATTCTCTCAAAGGACAAGGGTCTAAACAGACTGTGTGTTCATAACGTGGGTGTGAAGACATATGTGGGTTGAAGAGTCATTCCAAACAAACCCGTTTTTTAAAAAGAGTAGATGAAATCCCGAGGAAAGCAAAGATGACATTCAACAAGTAACATTCTTGTTAACTAACGCCCCGGCTGGCTAGCTCAGTTGGTTAGAGTCGTCCCGGGGCGCCACGGCTGCAGGTTCAGTCCCCCGTCAGCACCTACAAGAGTCAGCCAAGGACGCATGAACAGGTACAACGACAAATTGATGTTTGCCTCTCTCCTTTCTCTCTCCCTTTCTCTTTCTCTAAAATCAACGAATTAAAATTTTAAAAAACGCTTGTTAATTCCGTGCCTTTCACATGTGACTCCATTCTCTTGGAAGATGTGCTGGCTACGGTCCACGGACGGGAGTAGAGAGTAACTACAGAGAGGACACGTCTCACCTCCGCCAGGTCCAGCGTGAACCATCCATAGGTGTGAATTCTAGAGTAGCCAGGGTCTTTCTCATGCTTCGTCCTGGTGCTTCCTGGGGCGAGTATAAACTATGACACTGCACAAGACCCCTCTTGTCCCCCTGGGCAGCCTCCTCCCCTCCCTGAGCACTCACCTGACCCCCTGTGCCCTTCCGCCTGCCCCCTTCTGCATCTGAAATCTCCCGGTGTACGGCTGCATTCCCCAGCACCCACCGGGAATTCCCCGTGCCAGCCTCCGTCTCCCTCTGTGCTGCCGGGGCCGAGACGGTGGTGCAGACGAGGAGGCTGCCGGGAACCGGGTGGAGCTCAGTGCCCACTGAGCTGATGGGACTTTAGGGACTTTTCATTCTCTTTCTAATTTTTCAGCACTTTCTACACCCCCCGAAGAAAGCATGTATTACTTCTGTAGCCAGAAAGAGTAAGCTCCAAAAGAGAGAGAGAAAGGGAAAAGAAAGAAGGAAGGAAGGAAGGAAGGAAGGAAGGAAGGAAGGAAGGAAGGAAGGAAGGAAGGAAGGAAGGAAGGAAGGAAAAGAAAAAAAGAAAGGACTCAGGTTTGTGCAGCAAACCTGAAGGGCTTTGGACAGGTAGCCTTGGCTACAGCAACAGCATGTGAGTGAGCACAGGAGGGGGTGCTGGTCAGGGCTCTGCAGAGACACAGACCATGAGGATGGAAATATATATATTCTTCTATGTACCCCATTTACATATGTGTATGTATATTATATGCAGTTATATATGTGGAGACTTACATACAGGTTAAATCTGCCCTCTGCCGTTGGAGAATCAGGAGAATCGAGAGCTGGTGGCCAGTGCCTGGCAGGAGACGGGAGGACCAGGGAAGCCAGTGTTGGGAGTCGAAGCCCGAGGGCAGGAGGTGCAGTGAGATGGCGCAGCTCAACCGGTGAGGCAGGAGGACAGGAGCTAACTCCTCCTTTCGCCACGCCCTGTTGCACTGGGGCCCTCAGCGGTCAGACGTGGGCCACCGGCCCTGCAGAGGGTGGTCTGCTTCCCTGGGTCCTGCGGTCCAGCCCATCTCACCCAGCCACCCCTTCGCAGAAGCGACTCATGGTTGGGCAGTTCCGTGGCCAGGCAAGCTGGCCTAGAACACGAACCACTGCAAGAAGCTAGCAAAGGAAAACGGTTTCTCCGGGCTGTTTCTTGTCTTACTTAAGCACAGGGCTCTAAGGTTCTTTCTTCAAAATCGGAGGTATGAAACTCAAGCCTCTACTGAAGTGACCTGTCACCTTCCGAGACTGAACAGCCCGATCGAGTGTTCATTCGTCACTCCCAGAATAAAGGCGGGCAGCCGCCGAGGACCCGGGTGGGTGGGCAGACCGGACAGGCCGGGCAGGCGGGACAGGCCGGGCAGGCGGGACAGGCCGGACACCGAGGTGCACAGGCGCAGAGAGCGCCCCCTACTGAGGTTCTCGGGTTTAGCCTCTGCGTCGGCGTTGGGCACATTTTCAGACGCACAGTGGCCATCAGCATGCAATCATGTCTTATCTGAATAGAGTTTTACTTTTTTCTAGCCTGCTGTTTTCTTATCTGTGCAGATGAGCCCTCCAGTGCGGTGTTGACCGGGAGTGGTGAGAGTGGACACCGGGGTCGCATGTGTTGTCTCCGGGCTAGACAGCCTTTGCCGCTGCTCAGGCTGAGAGCCCCAGGCTGTTGGACCGGTCAGGAAGTCCCCTGCCACTGGTGTCTTGAGCGGTTTTGTTCTTTTTTTTTTTTTTTTTCCTTTTAAATCGTGGATGGGCCCAGGCTGGTGCAGCTTAGTGGACTGAGTGCCAGACTGTGAACCAAAGGGTCACCAGTTCAATTCCCAGTCAGGGCACATGCCTGGGTTGGGGGCAGGTCCCCAGTGGGGGGCGCTCGAGAGGCAACCACACACTGATGTTTCTCTCCCTTTCTTTCTTCCTCTCTTCCCCGCTCTCTAAAAATAAATAAATAAAGTCCTAAAAAAATAAATCGTGGGTGGGTGTCGAATTTTGTCAGATGTTGTTTTCGTGTCTACTGAGCTATTCGTCTGGTTCTTTTATTCTGTTAATATGGGGAATCACATTGATCAGTTTTTGAATGTTTGACCAGCCTGCCAGCATTCCTGAATAAACCCCACTGGTCTTAGAGTACCCTTCTTACACGTCACTGGATTCCGTTTGCAAGGATTTTGTCAAGAGCGTTTCCTCCTGAGTGATACTGATCTGTCGTTTCCTTTTCTTGTGATGGTTCTGCTGTCGGAGTCGTCTGTCCTCATCCAATGGGTTAAGAAATATTTCCTTCTCCATTTTCTGAAGGCATTTGTGTAGAATTGAGAGTATTTCTTCCTTAAGATTTTGTTAGAGTTCACCAGTGAACTCATCTGGGCCTAAGATTTTCATTATAGAAGGGTTTTAATAATTCAGTTTTAAAAATGTATATAGGGCTCTTCTGGTATTTTATTTCTTGAGTCAGTTTTTTGGTTTGTTTCTTTGTTTGTTTTAAATAACACAAACTTGGCCTCTTGTAGTTCTGGTGGGAGGAGTCTAAGAGCAAGCCGTCAGCCGGCCGCCTCCCTCCTGGAGTCTCTCGGGAGAATGCACTTCCCTGCCTTTGCTGCCGCTGGACGCAGCCGCTGGACGCAGCCGCTGGACGCCGAGGCTCCTGCCCTGTCTCCTGTCCCTCCAGCCTCCTGATTTCGTCACCTTCCTACGGACTCTCTGTTGATAACCTTTGATAACCTTCGTTTTCTGAGAAATTTGTCTATTGAAAGGTTAACGACTTATTGACTGTTTTTCACAACAGTCCCTTCTTGTTCTTTTCAAGGCCATGGTCACACCTCCTCTTTTATTCCTCATGTTGGTAGTTTCTGTGTTGTCTTTATGGTTTCCTCGTACTACAGTACAGTTACAGGTTCATCTCGTATGTTGATCTTTCCAGAGGCACAGCCTTTACTTTTGGTGATTCACTGTGTTGTTTGCGTCCTTTCTGGTTCACCGACTTTCACTCTTTGTTATTTCCTTTCTTCTGCTTGCTTTGTGTTTAATTTGCTGTTCATTTTCTAGTTTCTTAAAGTGAAAGCTAAAATCATTGATTGGAGATGTTTTTCTTTTGTAATGTAAGCATTTAAAACTTACAACTTCCCTCTTAAAATTTTGATGTGTTGTGCTTCCATTTCTATTTAGTAAATCTATTTTATAATTTCCCTTGTGATTTCTTCTTTTATCCATGAGTTATGTAGAAATGTATTGTTAAATTTCAAATACTTAGAAATTTCTCAAGTGTCTTTCTGTTGCTTCGTAATTTAACTTCACTGCAGTTAGAGGTTGTACTTGGTACGATTTCAATTATTTAAAATTTATTGAGACTCATCTCATGGCTCCGCCTGTCGCTGGTCTGGATGACTATTCCTTACACACTTGACAGTCGCGTTATTTGTCTCGCTGTCCTGCGGTGGGAGGTGCTGTTGGTGTTGGCCGGGCCAGGAGGGTGGGCAGCGCCAAGCAACCCCTTCTCTCTCCCTTTTCTGTCCACTCGGTCTGGCAGTTACTCAGAGAGGAGACCACGTCTCCTGTTGTGATTGTGGATCCATCTGCTTCTCCTTCCAGTTCCGCCCGCCATTGTTTCATGTGTTTTGAATTATTGTTATTGGGTGAATAAATTTCTCTTTAATGAGTCAATCCTGTTACCGTTGGGAGAGCTCCCTCCCTCCCCTGCGGTTCCTGCTCCTTGTCCCGAAATCCGCTCTGTCCGACATCCTGGGGATGAGTCTTCGCATGATCTGGGTTCCCACCCTCTCACCTCTGCCCGATCGGTGCCCTCTCCAGTTATGCGCTTGTTGTTCTCCTGTATTTTACTTCTGCATGTGTTTTATCAGCCCATCACTCATTAGCTTTGTTTTTGCTTTAGACAATCATTTTTCTTTTAAAGGCATTTAAAAAACAAGGTAATGCTTTTTGTATTTTGCCAAATACTTAACATTTCCAATGCTCTTCATTCCCTTTTTTTTTTTTTTTTAATAGACCCAACTTTCTACCTGGTGTCAATTTCCTGCTCCCTGAGGACATTTGTTTAGTGTTTCTTACAGAGCGAGTCTGCTGTCTGTGACATCGCTCCGGTTTTATGCCAAAGAGTCTGTATTCACCCCTATTTTTTACAGATATTTTCTGTGGGTGTAGAATACTAAATTGACAGGGGTTTTGCTCAGCACTTCAAGTGTGCTTTCTGGCTTGCATAGTTTCTTATGAGAAGTCTTGATAATTCGATATATATATATATATATATATATATATTAAGATTTTATTTATTTATCTTTAGAGGGGAAGGGGAGAGGGACAGAAACATCAATGTATGGTTGCCTCTCGTGTGCCCCCTGCTGGGAACTGGCCTGCAACCCAGGCATATGCCCTGAGTGGGAATCGAACTGCGATCCTTTGGTTCACAGGCCTTTGCTCAATCCGCTGAGCTATGCCAGCCAGCCCAATAATTCTATATTTGTTCCTCTGTCAGTAATTTGCCTTTTGTCCAATATCTGAAAAGTTTTTATTTCTATATTTTCCAGTTTTTTAATGTGTGTTTATTTTTAATAATATATTTTATTGATTATGCCATTACAGTTGTCCCATTTCCCCCCTTCATTCCCCTCCACCCTGCACACCCTCTCCCACCCACATTCCCTGCCTTTAGTTCATGTCCATGTGTCATAAGGTCTTTAGCTTCTACATTTCCCACTCTACCCTTGCCCTCCCCCTGTCTATTTTCTCCCCACTGTCTATGCTACTTATTCTCTGTACCTTCTCCTCCCTTCTCCTCCCAACTCCCCTGTTGTTAACCCTCCATGTGATCTTCATTTCTATGGTTCTGCTCCTGATCTAGCTATCCACTTAGTTTGCTTTTGTTTTAGGTGTGGTTGTTAATAACTGTGAGTTTGCTGTCCTTTCACTGTTCATCTTTTTTATCTTCTTTTTTTAGATAAGTCCCTTTAACATTTCATATAATAAGGGCTTGGTAATGATGAAGTCTTTTTAACTTGACCTTATCTGAGAAGCACTTTATCTGCCCTTCCATTCTAAATGAAAGCTTTGCTGGATAGAGCAATCTTGGATGTAGGGCCTTGCATTTCATGACTTGGAATACTTCTTTCCAGCCCTTTCCTGCTTGTGAGGTCTCTTTTGAGAAATCAGCTGACAGTCTGATGGGAACTCCTTCATAGGTTACTCTTATCTCTTATCCCCTTATCTCTTGCTGTTTCTAGTATTCTCTCCTTCATTTTAATCCTGGGTAATGTAATTATGACGTGCCTTGGTGTATTCCTCTTTGGGTTCAACTTCTTTGGGACTCTCTGAGCTTCCTGGACTTCCTGGACTTCCTGGAGGTCTATTTCCTGTGCCAGATTGGGGAAGTTCTCCTTTACTATTTGTTCAAATAACTTTTCCACTTGTTGTTCTTCCTCTTCTCCTTCTGGTACCCCTATAATTCAGATGTTGGAAAGTTTAAAGATGTCCTGGAGGTTCCTAAGCTTCCCCTCATTTTTTTTTTTTCTGAATTCTTGTTTCTTCATTCTTTTCTGTTTGGTTGTTTCTTTCTTCCTTCTGGCCCACTCCATTGATTTGAATCCCAGTTTTCTTCCCATCACTATTGTTTCCCTGTGCATTTTCCTTCATTTCACTTAGTGTAGCCTTCAGTTTTTAATCTAATTTGTGACCAAAATAAACCAGTTCTGTGAGCATCCTGATCACCAGTGTTTTGAACTGTGCATCTGATAGGTTGGCTATCTCTTGGTAGCTTAAAAGTATTGGCTCTGGAGCTTTGACTGGTTCTTCTGTTTCAGCCATATTTTTTTTTGGTCTTGTCGCACCTGTTATGTATGAGGGGTGGAGCCTTAGGTGTTCACCAGGGTGGGGTGACCCATTTGCTGGGCTGTGAGGCTATGTGTGGGGGCGGGGTCAGAGAGGGAGAAATGGTGCTTGTTCCGCTCTCTCTCGGACTTTGGTCTCCTCTGCTGCTTTCGCCAAGCAAACTGAGACCTTCTAGTGCTGGTTCCTGGGTGGGTGGGTTTGTGTATGTTCTAGCACCCTGTGTGTCTCTAATGAACTCTCCTGTGAGTCTGGGAGTCTCTCCTGGCACCTTTTCAGTCGGTTCTTTTAGGCTTTATTTCTCATCGCTGGGGCCCTGGGTCGCGCAGTCTGTCTTGCTGCCCATTTTTACCTGGTTTATCTGCATGTGAATGTGTGACCGTGGTCAGCCAACTGCCTCGCACGCTCTGCTCATTTCCTCCCTGCACCCAGGTCTGCCAACCACAACCCCTCTCCTTGGGCCAATGACTCCACCCCTCTTGTTGGTCTGGATGCATGGTTCGTTGTTGTCGGACTTTGGTACAGTTCAACTTTCTGTCTGTTTTAGTTGTGTTTTTGTTTCTAAATCTTTGTTGTCCTTAATTTTGGTTATGCGAGGAGGCACAGTGTTTCTACCTACACCTCCATCTTGGCCGGAAGTCCTATTTTCAAGTTTTTTAAAAATGGTGTCAGGGTTTTGGGGTAGGGTGTTCATTCGGTGAAGTGAAGGTTACTTGCCTGCACCCTAGCTGGGAAGTTGCAGATTTGCTTTTCAGTATCAGTAACAGGAAGTAGAGTTTGCTTTCTACCAGTGTTTATAATTGGGGAGCATAAATCTAAATTTTTATCCCAAACTTAAAAGGAAGAGATTCAGAGGTTTTTCAGCCAAAAGCAACGACGAACACTTTTCCCGATCCATTGCGCCCTCCTTTTGTTTAACGACTCTGAGACTAAGAAGAAGAATCCCACCTCTGAAGGTAGCTTGTCCTTGGTCCAAGCCCAGTTTAATAATGTAATCGCCCCACCCACCGTTTTGCCAGTGGTTTGTTCAGAAACTCAGGCCCGAGCCACGGAGCACAGGACATTGCTCTGACTTCAAAGGCCGGTTTAGAAATAGGCACCTGACACATTTTGGTCTCATGAGGTGCAAGATGATGAGTTCTGGGAGATTCTGGGGGAAAGTTCCTCACACTCCAGAGAACTGTAGAAAGCAAACCAGCAGCATCTTCTACATGGGATGATCTTGGTGTCAACCTGAGGACGAGGCTGCCATGGGCCCGGGAGCAGAACCGAGAGAAACCTCGAGAAGCGGAGCTGGATCTGCTGGATGAAACCAGCCCTGAAGCCTGCCCTGCTTCTTGGGGTCAGGACAGTCAGTACATTTCCTTACTGTTGAAGGCAGTGTGAGTTGGGTTTTCTGCAACTGGTGATGGGAAGTATCCTAACCGACCCAATACAGAATGTTCGGGATGTGTAGCTCCGAGTGGCGTCTTCCAGAATCGGTGCTCCTTTGTAATAGTCCCCGTGAGATAAGACTGCTGACTAAGACGGCACTACAACAAATGTGACAAACGATGGGAAAGGAAATAAATATTGATCGCATTAAAGAGAGGTTGAAATGTGTGGTCTTTGTGATGAAAGAGATGTGCTTTGCTTACCCAAACCTGAAGTACGTTGACAGATCCGTTCTAAGAAACGCCAGTGATGAGGCTCCATTAAGCCTCCATTACAGCCTCAGTGTGTGTTCTAAAGAACACTCTCATGTGCTTACCTGGCAGGGGCCAGGCCGTGATCACGAAGGTGGTTTTCCAGGGGCGAGGGTCAGGCCCGCACTCTGGACATGCTGACCCCTGCAGGTGCCCCAACTGTGGGAACCCAGACTGCAGGGGTTGTGGCCATGGGGGGCTGCCTTTGCACTGTCCCTGGAAATAAAAGGAAGAAAATACTTGTACAAGTGAAATAAGAAGGTAACATGTACCTCGTCATATCCTTGGCCTTGGAAAGCGTCCAGGGTACCGGTTTGTGACATGACCTTTGGTAGGTTCATTTGATTTTCCAAATCTTAGATTTCTAGTCCGCAAAACAATCATTGTCAGAATCAGATTAATTCATAACTGTGAAAGACCGTTATGGAGCCCAGGGAGGTGAAGAAGCAGGTTTTACGTTTGACTGTCTGAGTTCCCAAGGGCTGATAGGGTCGCGCTGATCATTCACGACTTTCAGTTCTAGTACAAACACTTCATTTCCTATTTTGATTGCTGATTTCCATATTGAAAAAAAGTCTATTGGTGAGCATCTTTGCATGTCAGTGCTTCCATAATTGGTATTTTATGTATGTTTACTCTTGTTTGATAACTGAATATTGAATGTAACCAACCTTTTGTCAGAGTGAATGGAAGTAACAGAACACTTTGAATGCATAATTAAGATGAAATGTGAAAGAAAAAAATGGCTGGGTAGCTTAGTTGCTTACAGCGCTGTCCCATATAACTGGACAGCAAGTGCGGTCCTGCTGCCTGCCACCGGCGCCCTCTGGGCAAAGCTCTAGAAGCAGATGTGTCTGTATTCAAAAGCTTCACAATTTTGGAATAACTGCTTTTCACATGCATTAGTCACTTATGCCTATCAATTAAGGCTATACTCTAATACTTGGGTTCTCCTATCATTCCCCTGATTTTAGTTGTCTCATTTCTATAGGGTTAATTTACAAACTCAAACAACATAAGCTACACAATTTGGGAAGAATGGCAGGCTTCTGCCTCGGAGCCCATCCCCTCTGGAACACCCAGAGAAGAACAACGCTGCCACCCTCTGCCAGGCCAGCCGGATCCCAGGCTGTGCCCGGAGTTCCTTCCCACCCAAAACCCCTCCCGCTGGGAAACACCACCAGCTACAGCACCATCACCCGTCCCCCTGTCCCCCCCCCCCCCCCCCCCCCCGGCCAGAAGAGCCTGCAGGCCAGAGAGCCAACCTTCTATTTCCGGGCACTCAGGACATTCAACTTCTCAGCCAATCCCGTCCCAGACTCTTTACCGTTGCCCCCGCAAACTCCTCCCACGGCCCCTCCCAGCTTCTCCCCAGTGGTCTCATCAGATCTCTCTGTATCACTCTTGTGCCAAGGTTGCAGGTATGTCCCAGTCAGGGCACACGCAAGAGTCAACCAAGAATCCATAAGTAAGCAGAACAGCCAATCGATGTTTCTCTCCCTTAAAAAGTCACTAAACAATTTTTAGAAACAGGGAAAAACCCCATGCATAATCACATTCGAGAGGGGCAGAAACTCCATGCAGTGGGGAGGGAGGGCAGCGCTACCGTGGGGACTCTCTGGGGGAAACTGGCACCTGCAGAGGTCTGTCTGGCCAGTCAGTGGTGGGAGGGGCATTTTCATCCCGTGTCTCGGTGACAGTTCTGTGACGTTCTCGCCTAACCTCTCGTCTTCCCTGGTCACCAGCTTTGAGATCTTGGGCAGGTGACTTGGTGTCTCCCTGTCTTCCTTTCCTCATCTGTGAGGTGGGAAAATAACAGTGTTATATGGGGTTGTTCTGGGAATTAAACGAGCTAATACGTACAAAGTGTTTGAGCCGGAGCCTGGAACTTAGTAAGCGCCGTGTAAGCATTCATTAAATAATAAATAAACATGTTCTTTTTTTTTTTTCTTCCTGTTACTACCACCACCATGGTTAATTCTCAGTTTTAAGTGTTTCTCAAATACCAGTGCTGCTTTGATCTAGGTTTTTTCTTTTTTGCCTGCTATGCTTGAAAAAGTGTTTTATACGAAAGCGCATTACTTGTTACTTTTTTGTACAGTGTTTTGGATCAGGGGTTGGCATACTGTGGGCCCAACGGGGCCCAGTGCCAGTTTCCGTGAGTAAAGTTTTATCAGAGCACAGCCACACATACTCATTTGCATACTGCTCCCGGCCGCCCTGGCGCTACGGTGTCAGAGTCGTGTACCTCTTCCGTGTTGGAGGAGGCTCGCTTTCCTCCTCAAACTTGTCCTCGGACCAGGGGCCCTCGCTTAAGATCGAGGGCGTGATTGATTTCCCCCGAGGTCCAATCAAAGTCTGAGCAAAGGCCTAGGTCTTGTGCTGTGCCCCCGACCCCCAGACGCTGCCTGGATCGGGGTGGTTCCCAGGTTGGACCCTGGGTTTCACCAGTGAGCACCCCACTTTTTCCTGATTGCCTGTCACCCCCTTAACCTTGGGTATTTGTCTTCTGAATCCGTGCCAAGAGGAGCTGCTCTGAAAAGAACGGAGATACGGAGCAGGTTGAGCCCGTTCTGCTGCCCCTGGGCATGCAGCTCGGGGCACGGGCCACTGTGACCTGGAGTGGCCTGTGGCCGTGTCCTGATGCATTTTTAATGTTCAGATGTTTTATGGTTTAAAACTGAGAGTTATCTCACTTCTAATTCTTTCAGTGAAAGTTGCTTTTCAGAGGTCATTTTTGGCAGCTTGTCTTTCAGCTTCTGGAGATGATCCTGGCGCCCTCTGCCAGCCCGTCTCCCCCAGGCGTGGTTCCGAAGGTCCTGCTGTCCCCAGCAACATCGCTTCTAAACTGTTCAGATCGTCAGATTTCGCACTTCTTCTCTCGGGCATTTTCACTGACTGCTCTCCCAGAGCGGCGTCGCTGCCGCCTCGGCCCGGGCAAGGTTTCACACCCAGTCTCTCCTCCCTCCACACACCATGCTCATTAATAACCCCCCTCCCTTTCCCGGCCCCCATGCAAAATATAAATACAAAGTCTTTCCTCGTTAACCCAACTCCTTGGATACTTTTCTCTAATCATGACTTTGGCAAAGAAACATCGTCACCTCGAGGGCAGTAGGGGCCGGCCCTGTCTGCGTTCTGAGTTTCCCAGGCGGTTTCTGAGCTGGTCACACCGAACTCCTAAGGAGTGTCCAAATATATCGCTAAAGATAAAGCCCACTGTCTTATTATTGCCTTCTAAACATTATTTATAATGTCTTGATTAGAAACAGTGCAAATCGTTTCTCAGGCGCCTCTATCTGAAGTTTCATATTTATGGAGATTTACTTATAGAAAAGACTACACTGTATTTTTAAACTCTTTGAAAACATCAGTCTTCAACTTTCATGACAGATCATTGAAATGCTAACTTTTTTCTTAATCTGAAGCTATTCACAGAGTTTCCGGTTTCAGATAAGAGTTCAACCTGAAAAAACGCAGACCTGGCCGGCTGGCCGGGCGGCTCAGCGGGTCGGAGCGGTGTCTGCGGGTGGAGGGGCTCTGCCAGGAGAACACCTCTTCCTCCCCTTGTGTGGACCAACTATAGGAAGCAGCAAAATGTACACTCAGTAAGAGTGGATGCTGCTACACAGGTCGTGTGTGCGTGTGTGTGCGTGCATGTGTGTGCGAGAACGTTTCCTTTCTCCCGGCTGCATGGAATGGCAAGACGACTGAGCAAGCTAGTCTGTGCTCTTTTCTCTTAATGGTGGCGTTCTTCCATCTCAGACACACACAGGGCCAGCTGCTCTCTCCTCTCTCACCCAGACCAGGGAGTCGGCTTAAAGACACTGTCAGGCAGTGACTACGAGCCAAGACCGCCGGGCCGGGATGCTGAGTTCAAACCCGGGGGCTGCCCCGTACTAAGTCTCTGAGCCAGAGTGTGTTGCCCAGCTTCGTCCTCTGCACCTGGGCCAACACCGGCAGTGCCAGCCTCACAGGAGTTTTTGTGAGGATTGAACGGGTCGCTGCGGGGCCACCGCGGGGATGGCCCGGGAGTCGGATCCCTGCCATCAGCCCAAGAAGGTTGTCATCTGCTCCTCCTCCCTTCTGTCTTACTCACTGTGTCCCCGCCACCCCATCCCAGTGGGCCCCCGAGGCTCTGACGTGACCTGTTCCGAGGGACAGTGGCCCGGCCAGCGTCAGTCACTGAGCAGTGAGGCCCGCTGGGTTTTAGGTGAGGCTGTGGCACGGAGGAAGGACTTGATGAAGAGTGAGAACACCTGGCCCTGGCTGGGCGGCTCAGCTGGTTGGAGCATCATCCCGATACACCAAGGTTGCAGGTTCAATCCCTGGTTGAGATCCGTATGGGAGGCAGCTGACTGCCTCTCTCTTTCTCCCTTCTTCTTGCACTAATATCAATCACTATATTCTTCAGTGAGAGTTAAAAAAAATAAGAATTAAAAAACCTGGGGTCTATATTTCCATCACGACTTACCAGCTAGGTGTCTTTAGGGAAATCTAGAACTTCTGTGACCTGGGTCCCTCATCCTCAAAGTTAATATGTGCCTGACATGCTCTCTCCTCTGCCCCCAGAGCCCCCAGTAAAGATGTGTTTCCGCATCTTTATACCGGTCTTCCTGGAGTATAGTCACTGATACATCTGGCCTTCTTTCTGACCTCAGCGGAGCTGGCCCACCGGCCCCCACCGTTTCATGGCCCCCGAGTGTGGAAGGCGACTGTCCAGTTGCCCTCCCCACCTCCAGACGCGGCCATGTGAGTAGCTCTCAGCACAGAGGGTGAGTCGCACTGAACTGGCAGGAAGCATGGAGGCCTTAGGTTCCCCCCTCCACTTAGATCAGACACTCACTGAATTGGACGCAGCCTCGCAGGCAAGTGGAAGAAGCGGAGGGAGAGCCTGTTTGTCGGTCTGACCCCTGGAGAACTAGCGGGCCAGAGGTGTGTGAGTCAGTGCTCCGGCCTGAGGGTCATGTCCTCCCAAAATGCATGTGTTAGAGCTCTGCCCCTGGAGGTGGTCGTGCTAGAAGGAGGGCCTTCCGGGGTGGTGGTGATGAGGTCGTGGGACCAGAGCCCTTCTGAAAGGGACCCCGAGTGCTCCCTCGCCCCTTCTGCCAAGAGGGTACAACGAGACAGACATCTATGAACCAGGAACTGAGTTCTCACCAGGCACCGGAGCTGCCAGCACCTTGATCTTGGACCCCTCGGCCTGCAGAAGTGTGAGAA